TATATATATATATAATAAAAAAGGAGAAGTTTGGTTTAAGCTCGGTGATAGAGGATAAACTCGTCAAGTTCGGTAAGAAAGTCTAACAATATCACAATGGAAGTTGTTATTGCTAATCATAACTTTAGTTTGAAAAACTATGTACAAAGTCGTAATGAGTTATAATGACTTTGGTTCAATTGAAAGTTGTTACTACTGTATACAAGATCCAATAAAAGTTTTCACTACTCCTAACGACTTTCATTCAACATGTTTACAAAAAAGTTGTCATCAAAGTCCTGACGACTTTACATTTTCATAATTTTATGAATAAGTCTTCCTCAATCATGATGACTTTAATTTAGATGTTGTCTTGACTTCATGCGACTTACCCTAAGACTATAAATTTTAAGTCTACCACTCCATTTTTGTAATTTATGGGTTAAACTACCTTATTTTTATAAATTTTCCGAATAATCAAGAATGGACACATGGAGGAAGGCATTTGAAGCAATACGAGAGGAAAAGGCGCGATGCAGACGTACAACTAGGGATGACAAAAATATAAGTGTTTGAGGTATTTGCGGGTAAAGTTCGTTGTGGGTAGTTGATACCTTCAAGTAATAGGTACCCGTGAGTAACGGGTAGTCTAGTACCCGCTCATTAATGGACCAGGTTTGGGTATCATACTATTCTTACTCGTGGGATCCATTACCTGTTAAGGAAATAAAATTATATTTCTATCCTTTGTTAGGTTTAAGTTGTTAAAGGATTTGTTTTTCCCTTTCTACTGTTGGGACTCTGCTGAGGTTTATGTTGTTGCTGATTGGTGACTCTACTTAGATCTGAGACACTATCAGCTAGCCAAAAATAATATTGTTCTCTTCTAAGTACCTCATTTCCCTTTCCCTACTTTATTTATTCTTAGTTTCTTTTTCATATTTGTTATCTGTGACCTCATCGATGGAAACTATGCCACCGCCATCCCCATCACCTGCCCCGTTGAGACGATATGCCCTACATGGACAACGAAGACCTATCTTGTGACAAGACCACCAATCACAATATGTTGGATGAGGATGTGTTAGTTCTTATCGGCATCATTTTACTTGCGGTCTCGTTTGAGCACTTGGTCATGGCAACTCATGGCATGTCCTAATGAAGGTATATTTGTAAACCTTTTACAACTCAAAAGCTTCCTTCTTCTTGCATTTCAATCTCTAAAGATAAAACACAGCCAAACAACGTTACGTTGGACCTTCCTTCAAAAGCCCAATGACTTCTGCATGATCCATGTCCCATACTTCTTTTAAACGAATGGCTATTGTTTTCGGCTTACACACAATAGCCCCATACTTTTCTACTGCTGCTTTTGCAAAGTAAGAAGAAAAGTCCATGTGATAGCTCCTCTCCAAGGCTAGATCGAAGCTATGGTGCAACTCACAGGAGCATAAATGAGAAATGGAAGCAACAGAAGTCAATGAAACATGAAGGAAGTAGCTTAGTTAAGGTGTTTGGTGTGTGATGAAGTGTTTTGGTGCTAGCTAGAGGTCCTAGCTAAGGAAGGGTAGCTAGAGGAGGCTAGTATCTCTCTCTAGTCGGGGACTAAGAGTAGAATGAAAGGGCTGGAGTCATCTCAACAACATTTCATTACACAAAACTCAAAGTTACTTTACAAAGGGGGAAAAGAGGAATTTATAGGTGCATTCAACCCTCTCCCAACAGCCTAAGGTGCACTGATGATCAAATAAGTACACATATCAAATGACATGTAAGGAGTCACACATTACATGCATTAGTCGCATGGAAAATAAGATAGAAAACATGGGAAACAAATCTGGTTGCTAGCATTGGGTGTGTGTGATTATGCACTAAGCATGGACATGTTGGGCGAGCCTTAAGCTGCACTAGGCGAGTCAAGGTTCTTCCAAGTGAGGATTTGCTTCACTTCTCCCTCTTTTGATGTATCTTCCATTCCTTCTTGTATTCTCCTCATCATGCTACAAGTGATAGGTCCTTGAATCGGTTCTTGACTTGAGCCTAAGTCATCATCCCCTCCCTCCTGAAAAAAGGATTTGTCCTTAAATCTAGAGGGTCGACTTAATTTTACAAAAATATGACTTTATTATTAAAGAAAATCCTATCAATCTTGGGAGCATGCCTTTTTGAATGGTTTTGTTTCTCTTGTAATCTATATGAACTCCTTTTGAATCAAATGTCATTTTGCAATAGTCATAAAATAAACATTTAATAAATTCTAGTTCCACAGACAAAAGTATATCAGAAGAAAGCCTCATTGGTTTTTGGCTTATATCTTTGATAAAAATTAGAAGCTCTTCTGTATGAATATTCGTGTGTTCATCTCTAGTTAATTGTTTCCTGTGAGGTAACACTAACTCAAAATGCGACTTAAAAATTTTCTTTGAGGATTTTAAAGCCATAAATAATGAACTTGAAATTTTTTCAAGAGAAAAATGAGGAATGAAAGTTGGTTGTAATAATCTCCTACTCTCAAGATTTCTTGTTCAAATTGTGATACTTCCTTGTAACCTCTTCTTCTTTTGAAGTTGTTCTTCTTTTAAAACCCTTAGGTAATCTTGAAGTAGAACAATTTGTAATTATTTATCAATCTTGTCTCTTTTTCTCATTTTCTTCTCCTCCACTCTCCAAAGATTAAGTTCTTGAGTTGTTTAGAAATTCCTTTGAGAATTATAGATTTCTCAAAGTCACTTATCCTTGGAGAGTTGCGCCAAGACATCTTTAATTTCAAAAGTTTTCTTAACTTAAAAGGATTTTATTATAAATTTTCACCAAAAGCCAAATCCCAAGTAAGAGAGGTGAGTACAAGACCACTTAAAAACAAAGTCTTACCTAGCTAGAATTGTCTTAGGCTACTTGTTTTTATCACTTTTAAGCCAAAGTTACCTTTAAGTTCAAAAGATGGACTCAACATAAATAAAGAATAAAGTTAAAAAGAAACTAGACACCTAATTTCGGACCCTTAATGTGATAAGGATTAAAGTTGAATCACTTGTAGCATAAATCACTCTATAATGTGAAAACAAAATCA